CTAACCAAGGTTACAATTAACAACATTGGTAAATAGATTTAAAATTTCGTTTTCTACGTTGAGACGGTCGATTCGATCATTTTATAGCTTATTCATATTACATTATACATAATTTCGCATAACTTTGGATTAAATCGTAAAATAATAGGTTTCCCATCAAAGGAATGGTTATAATTTTTATTTATTACGTTTAAAAAACGATATGTAACAATATCGTAACATTTTTTTACATCATACCAAATTGGTCTATTTTTAATATCGTCAATAAATTCAAACGGTATCCAAATGCATGTTAAATATCCAAATAGGTCATACAAATTCATGAAAATAGAAATATATAATTATATATATACAATTGTGATTAGAATTTATATTTTTACATCGAAATGAAGGTCCCAACGTTATCTGAATGGGAAAACAAAGAATGAACAACTATAAAACATATTATTATGTTATACTTTATAGTAATCAATTCGACACGTCCAGTTTGTTTTCAAATCAATAATTTTTTTTTTTTTTTTTTTTTTTTAAATACGAACACCTTCGAGTAGCTCTTGGTATTTAGATCAAAGAAAACATTGAACCAATCTGATTTTCGTTTAAGTACACGACCTTCATAATCGACCCGGAAATTAAAGTAGTGCCCCTACACAAAAATTGTAACTAGTCCTATAGACGTATTATAATATTACAATAATACAAAATGGCACATAAGAACAGATGACACGACTGTAAAGACTAAAAACTAATAAGTCGAAATCACATGAGTCTACGTAAATGATTTTTAATTGGTAAATTCTTAGGTTAGTCATTCAAAAGGATGACTAACTATATTATTATGTACAATAAGACATGATATGCATATGTATAGCATATTATTCATAAATATTATAACAGCTGCCAAAATGCCATATCCCTATTCAACAATAGAGTACAAATTACATCAAATCCACACGTAATTACGTAAAATTAAGCTATATAGAAAAATAATTATGCGCAATAGAATTGTGTATTACTATAAAGGTATATATATATAATATACTATACAGTTGTTGGGCGGACATGTTGCTTGGATATTTTTTTTTACTGCGCGTTCTTTGGACGGACCCCTCACAAAAAAAAAAGGTTAATAATTTACTTTATTGAATATTAAAAATAAGAAAAGAAAATAGAACGCTTGCCACCATCGTAGGGATTTTTTCGATGAACAAAAAAATAAAACAAAACGTTTTCGAATTCACCTGTTGTCCCCTTCATAAATATGACGTGTACGCGTGTCTGTAGGGGTAAAGCGAATTTTTTCGGTATTTCTTTTAAAAATCAAAAAAAAAATTTACATTATATACTATATATAATAACACGTTTATCGTCGCAGTTTATACAAATCACGTACAAAGGTGACTCCAAATTTACCATATGTCGCGGAAACGAGCACCACACACGTTCACCATTAACACATGCATCTTTTGAGAGCATGCATACCGCTACGATGTTCAATACAATATGGACGCATAATATTTAAATCCCTATGAAACCGGAGAGCTGGGCCAGCCACCCTATAATCATTATTATCACTTCCGTTCCGAACGAACTAACGAGAACGGTACACAAAAGGTACACGGCGTCGGCGTTGTTCTCGTCATCGTCGCACGTGCGATGAATTTTTACGATTTTTAACCAAACAATAATCCGTATTCGAGGTACGTCAAGATGTTTATTCACGAACAGATCCGTAGCTCATTTTTATCGTTAGACTGTAACGCGTAAGTAAAAATCACTTATTAAAAAAATTCAATCTGTACATAAATACACATAACATATGCGCATACATAAAATATATCGAATACATAACACAAATAATCATGAGTTTATAGAACAATTGTGATCGCCAATACCTACAACATTCAAGACGATTTTTTGGTCAATTTTCAATATATATATATATAATATAATATACACATATTTATCGATATGGTTGTACGCACTCTCTTTATTTATACATTTCTACAGCACAGTATAACCTTCAACCCGAATCTTGGAACTAACAACAACAGTCAAACGCCAAAAGATTAAGACTCACCGTTTTTACGCAAATCAAAAAAAAAAAAAAAAAAAATTAAGACATGTACTTTAATTTGGTACGCAAAAGAAAAAAAGAATAACACATCGAACTTGGTACGTACTATATGACAAATAGTTTAATTTACGAAACGTCGCAAATTTTGCTCAATAGTAAAAACATGACGGGAAAGAGGGGGAAAAAAAACATCACTTACCGGATGTAAAATCCTGCGCGTAATGTGCACAACAACGGACGGAATTCGGCACTACCGTTCGTAAAGAAAGACGCAGTTATACTGAAACAACCCTGCTTCGACACAGGAAACCCCGGCACAACCACGCCACGCAGATGAAAGATGCACCCCTCCCTTACCAACCACCCAGCGAACCAGCACTCCGGAAAGCGGCGCCAGTCGCGCATAGTTGAAAACGGGCCGAGTGAAGCAATTGAGAGGGTGCACGACACGACAAGGTGCCACACAGGTAGCACGAGGGTATTTTCATGACGTTGAGTTAGTCGACCGAACGGGTCTGTATACGTGTTGTATACATCTATACAATTATATGTGTTTTCTTTGTAACGCGGGGGTGGGATTTTTTTTTCTGCATCCCGGGGGAATTCGACAGCAACACAAAACAAAAACCAATCGTAAATATTCCGAGAAGACGAGAACGGTTTCGATTGAAATCTTTGGGTACCGTCGTAAAAACTAGCCTCGGTCAACGGCTAGTGTCCAAATAAAACATATTTAATAACTTTTACCCCGTATTCGTGGTAAAGAAAAAAATGAAATAAAACTAACGACAATATGGACTTTGTGTAAACGTTGAATATTCAATAGACGCTTGATAGAAAATGGAATTTTGTTACCATTGTAAAAGTAATAATTTACGCTCTCAATTGACCGCTAACTGTTAAATTGTTCGACAGATTAATAATACACGTAGAAACATTCGTCAACATTATCGTAGTGTATTAAAAATTTAAAAATAAAAATACTAATTTTTAATACATATTCAAAACAATAAATTTAAATAATAAATTCACAAATTTAAAAATAAAAAAAATAATTTACATAAGTATGGAATGAAAGCAAAATAACATTTGAACAAAATTCAAACTTTTTAAAACATTTCACTACAAAAAATCACAAACGCTCCTTTTTTTGTTTTATATTATATACCCCATGATTAACAAAGAAGCCTAAAACTTTTACAATAGATTTTATTCTAAACGTTCACACCATTTCAACCAACTTTTAAAACATTTGGTTTTTTCTTAACTCTCCCTGGAAATCCCAATGTAAGTTCAAAAAAATATGACTTTTTGACCTCCTCAATAATGAAATATGAATCTAACTCTCGATAGCTAAGTGATGCTTATTGGTGACTATTTTAATCATAACTTTGACATATATTGTATTTATTTCTTACATAAAATAACAGTACTTTTTTTGTGTATATTGGGTATATGATAAAATTTAAAAAATAAAATCAAAGAAAGTGTGTTTAGTATGCAGATTTTTTTTTTTTATAAAAGTGTTTGTATTTATAATATTGAACAATGTCGAGGTATGAAATGTGATTTTAAATATTTATATTATTGTCTAAAATAAGCGCCTTGATTTATCGTTGATACTACTAAAAACAATTGGACAGCTGTTTAGTTGCAGTAATTCATAATATTGTACGTTACTATGAATTGAAGTTTAATGATAATTGATCTAAATATACATTGTTACTACTAATATAAACAAAAATTTCTCGGTATTTTCAAATTGATATCAGTTGTATCATCAAATAAAAATTCTATAGAAAAACAATTTCTACAAAAATGTCAATACTAATTGAGGATATAACAATTACCAACTACTACTACCATTAATCATTGAAATAAGTCTGCTTTCATACAATCAAACATGATAAGAATGTAACAAATATATTGTGTTGTGACAAAGAAAGCTCAATAATACAAAGTCTTGGACATTTAATGTGGATATTGTTTCGCTATACAATTTATACTCAATGATTTAGTCTCTAATTTAATATTTTAATGAGATTATTGTATTGAATAAAAATGATATGACCACTATCATAAACAAAATTATTAAAACAAGTATTTCAAACTACTAATGAACATAAAATTCAATCAATATTTAAAAATTATAATCATCAACACATATAATTTTAAAGATTTAATGTTTTTTTTTCTTAATTAATATTAAAATATTTTTGAAAAAAATAGTAGAAACTAGAATAAGATAATTAATAAAAAAAAGATAATAAAACTAAATATATAGTTATTATTACAAGAAAATAAATGAAATTGATTACTTTTTAGGAAGTAAGTTACACTATCTGGATTTCAATAAAATATTTTGCTTATATTTACACGAGATGTGTATTACAATACTCATGAATTATTTTGAAAACAATATAATTTCAACACAATTAACAATCTATAAAAGCAATTGATTCATTTCTTCTCAATTTAAATTTAAATAATAAGTAACACTGGTTTGATTGAATATATTAAGTAACAATAATAAGTTAAAAAAAGTATCAGAAAATTAATAATAAGATAAATAAAAATAACATAAGTAGTAAATTAAATAACAACTGTAAAAGCAAATAAAACAATACATACTGTTAATATTCAGGAAAATAAATATTTATTTGATAAACCTAATCCTCATAATTAATGTGTAGAGAAAATATATATTTTTGAAAAAAAAAAAATTACTCTGCACTTTTTTCAATACTTGATTTTTATTATAAAACTAGAAATATACTCTTATATGATCTATGAGACTAACTGAATACCAATGAAAAATATTTCCGACAAATATTCTATTTCTTTTTTTATCATTTTCACCAAATATCAACGTATACATGATAAAAATAACATAATGAATCTACTGGAAAACTTCGTTGCTTACCATGGAAACGAAGTAAAATTTTTCAAAATCTTGTTCCTGCTGTCGAATTGCTGGCAAACTGTTCGCCAAATCAGCATGCTGCACCAACGCGTGTTCCCCTTTGTTGGTTAGCCAAGAGAGGACCTACGTCAAAATAAAGATAATGTAGATATTTACAGTTTAACGGTCAAAAGCAAATAGTGTTTCCTAAACGCCTATTCTTTCAGCGTAGTCAATTATCACGGTTAAAGTCGCTACTATTGGAGGCGCGTGTGCTTAGCGTGAAAGTATGAAATGATAACCCCGACACTCGGGTTAATGAGTTTTTTCCTTCCTTCTGGTCTGATGAGAGCGTGTGTGTGTGCGCCCATGACCATTTCCTACGTAAAACATACAGTTCATATTCGTCTGACTGTAACAACAGTATATTATATACATCCTCGTTAAATCCACATTAGATCGGTGGGTGGGGAAGACTTAACAATATTTTATATATATAACGGTACCACGATTGTGTAATGGTAACATTTCACGTGTCACAGACCTTCGAATTCGCAACGATAATATATGATATCGCTGTAGTACAGAGACACGTTCGTACATCTATATGGGAACACGGTCCGGCAGAATATTATTATTACACTATGACAGAATTCGTTTTCCGTCTATCAGGGACAAACACTGCTGAGCACACGGCCGTCCACCATCCGCGACATCGATACACCTGAAAGCAAAATCTGCATACCTCGTGTGTTTCAGACTCAAGAGCGTGAACCCTGGCCGCCTGCATAATTTTTTTCTTCTTCTGCAACAGAAGTTCTTCCAGCCGAACCGCAGCGCCTTCGACTTCTCCGTGGAACTTCTTCACGTCCTCAAAACTCGACCTGTGAACGTGGAAAATGTATCAAGCAAGTCGTTGGCCGAAATGTGAAAACATATTACTGCTCATAATAAATTCACAACACGTGACACAAACACAAGATAAGCAATAATAAACGTAGGTATATCATTATAATTCGTTATTGTTTAAATTGGTTTTACGCTGTTTTTGTAGGTGCAATTTATTTTGTTTTAGTATCGTTCGTGAATCGGTCACTCTCAACAAAAATCACATAGAAAGTTATATTAAAATAGAGTGCTTTATAAGAAAAAGTGTAAAATATACTTGCGTCCAACGAAACCAAGCACATTATGGCATAGTAATTAAAATCAGCGACCTTACATTAAAAACGAATTAAAATCGGTTTTCTCGAGCTAAAATAATAACGTTATAATCAGATATAATTATTGTTATTTTTTATAATCAAATAACAACCTAATAAGAACGAGTATAGTAGGTAATAATAATAAATTGTTGTACTTTTATCGAAATAACATTCATCGTCATGTTTTATTACGACGACTAATTTTTATAGTAGATTAAAAAACGTGTGTATTATATAAGAAACCTGATGTTAATAAATACGAAGTACATATAAGTAACTAAACAATTGTTGTTTTAATAATTCATCGGAAACCAAAATACGTGTTTAAATAAAACTATAAATAATTTTAATTTACGCTATAGTTATTAATTACAATTTTCTAGATGCCACAAAAGATATTTAAGGACCACATAATTACTTTCAATATAATACAAAATAATTCACTGTAAATATATCGAACAAAATAAAGTCAAATCTACATAAATCAAAGGTCCTTTTCCTTTTCGATCCTTAAATTTTTGTTTATACTACCTATATATATATTTAAAATATAGCAATACCATATGCTAACATAATAAATCATACTTATCGGTAATAATAAATAACAATTACGATCGCGTACATTACAAATCTGTCTTCGTTCAACCATCGTGCATGTTGTTCGAGCATTTCCATGCTCTGCCTGGCATCCTGAAGTAAGTTTTTAATATCTGAATCGTCCAAGAACTTAGATATTGCGTTCCGTTCTTGTGGTGCGTTTCCTATATCTGTTACGGCCGTAACGAGTCGATTTCCGGCGGTTTGACACAGGCACGTTAGTCTCTCGGATTCCTAAGCAAAAAAAAAAAAAAAAAAAAGTAGAAAATTAGTACGCTCGATTACAGATCAATTTTTTTTTTTTTTATTATTGAACACTTCGACGTTAAATATTATAAACTCCATCGAGGCGTCTGTAGACAAAGATTCACTGATTGAAATATAATTTCCGGTGTTTTAAACAATTTATTATAATCCAAACACTACTTATTTTTTCCGCATAAAAACAAAAGATTATAATTCTTATACCGATGAGACGTTACGAGAAAACCGAACTCGGATTTATCTGTTTACTGTCACAAATGATTTATGATTAATAAATACCAGCGGCAAGACATCCTATGTGCATATAGGTGAGTTTACAATATTATCAAAAACGATTGTGATTAATCGATTTCAAGTCGTATAACTGATGTGAACCAACCTTATAGAAATCGATCCATTCAAGCTGACTATGCGAGTACGGGCCACCGCAAGCCAACGGGATTTGACTGTCTTCGAAGAACTCCAAGAGACCGCTGTAGGAATTGATGGCATAGCACTGAATGAGGAAAAAAGAAAAAAAGGAACGTAAAATCAAAAACTATTTGTATCTATGAATAATAACGTGCACGTAAAACGTTTTACATACCCGAATTTGGCTGTGCTTCAACCGATTTCCTTCTGCGTGTCGCTTCGTGCAAAAAATCACTTTGTCCACCGAAACTTGATGCTGTGAAATAATAACGATAATTATCGTGATAGTAAAAACGTTTTCGATGAACCATTCGAACGGTAATTTTTTATTATTAACTTCGTCACGCGTTTATTATATTTACCTTTAACAAGACCAACACACAATCAACGAATTCTATACTAGCGCAACTATTCTCATGCACCAAGATGGTTAATGACAAGTTCCTTTCATTTCTAAAAACGGAAAACAATTATGATTATTCGAAATTATTACATCGTCTTATAAAATGAAAAAATACATGAATATAAAATACAGGTACGCGTCATTACGTAAAAATATACATAAATTAATAACTCTTATGCGTGAACCATATAAAACTGATCTGATATAATATTATAATGAATGAAACCAGAATAAAAATAATAGGTAAAAATCCCTTGGAGTATATTTTCCAATCGAGTAAAAAATTTTGTAGATTATGAGCGGTAAATTACAAATGCTAATCGATAAAACGTAACCTATAAACAATTTAATTATAGTGTGTAATGTATATTTATTTATTTAAATTTGAGTTATTATTAATTTATGAGAATGAGATTTGTTTAATTCAAAGGACTATTATGTACTAGTCACAATACTTGAAAACAATTTATAGTTATACGACAACATACGATAAACATATATATATATAACTTATATTATTATTTATTACATAGAATAAAATAAAAAATCATTTCTTATAGAGTTATAAAAACAGTTTTCTTCTTTATTTTTATTCATGAAGTTTTTTTTATATAGTTTATTCGTCACTACGAATAAATAAAAAAATATTTTCTCTAAAACAATTTATAAAACTTCAAAACACAATATGTTACGATTCTCTAAACTTACATCAAATTTACTGACTAACTATAACCTATAAATGTTATGGTATTGATTCATCAGTATCTGATATGAGCCATAAAAAGATAAATATTAAAAAATTATAATCGTACAGAATTATTGCCAAACAATGAAAATTATAACCATTATATTGGCTATAACTAATTATAGAAACACTAACAAAACTAGGAACAATAATTAGTCAATTTTCTTCGACTGTATAATATGACGTAATTTTGTGTGTGACGTAAAATAATAATAATTTTACATTCATATGTTTGGTATTTAATATTTAACATGTATTTAAATCATGGTGTACTTCAATTTTAGATTTATAGTTATTTATTAGATAAATTTTAATAATTATTTTCATTTTAAAATAGAAATATGTAGGTATGCTTAAAATATGTTTGAGTATGCAATATATGGATTACATATAGATTTGGCCATATTATAGCTGTCGATCACAAACCAGAACAGCAGTTAGTTAATTAATGCAATGTGTTTTAAATTTGATGTATAAAACACACCGTTAAAATATTGACAGGGAATTATAATTATAATAATATGGTAACCACGCATTTAATTGCACATAAAAAAACAATAAAGGTATAGTGCCGATTCAGGGTAAATTATAACTATATAATTTAATTTATAAAGCTTTATCAGAAGTAGAGAAATCTTATTTAAATACGCTATAAATGTAACATTATGGTATTTGAAACAAATGCTAGAAAAACATTTGGAATGTTTAACAACATTTATTAATAATTGAAACGATAATATAGTATGTGTACATTTATTGCTGTCGACTAGTTACCATATATCATAATCAGAGACGCAGACATTTTAAAAGGTGGTGAGTTAAAACATTTTGTGAAATATATTTGAAGGGTAGCTTTTACAGATCAATTTTTATATTATAATATTATCTTCACATTTTAGATAGGTACAAATAATATTATTTATATTGTAAATAAATAAATATTTCACATGAATATATATAAACCACAATAATGACTTCCATTCCATATATATCTAAATATATATTTGTATATTTAATCTATGAGAAATCCAATTTTTGCTCGCAGTTGACAAAGTCACCTGGTAATTATAAAACTGAATTCGCGAGTAAAGCGGAAAGATCGTGTCTATCCGGTAATAAGAGTGAAAGTCTACAGGGTATGTCACGGACGGACACGAATTTATTAAAAAAGGATACAATTTGCAGCAGCGGCCAGTGTCCCGTTGATTAGATTTTGATTGATATTACCGCGTATTATTTCAACACGGCCATCGCCTATTTTTGTCTTAGTTCAGATTTCCTACCTAGTTCAGCCGTTATTATTATGTATTATAATATCAACCGGATTTATATATCTAATGTCCTAATCCAATGGAATTAAATATATAAGTCACTGTCGTAGCACTTACTGCATAACCAAGGACGGATTTCATATTACTTGTTGAAGTTTTATACATACAGTTTTACAATAATATTATGAAGAGGTTGAGTAGCTATATTATAAGTATACCTATATACACATATCATAATATATAAGGTGTATATGTATTGATTATCGATTAAAAATCTTAAATTAAAAATTAAATATTAAAAATATATTTACGCGATTTAACTTAAAGAATAAATGAAACGTTCTCCACTAAATACGCACATCACACACAACACAAATTTAAAGTTAAGCTGGCGTTTATAATAATATTTGTTATACTATCTTTAATTCATAATCAGAGTGCTTCTTTTTTTGAAAAAATAAACTATAACCTAAGTTATTATAATACATATATGAGTAAATATATACGTATTTCTTGAACTCTATGCGCATAACCTAACCTCGTAAATTAAAGATGCAAATCAACAAATACCAAAGCGATATTTTACCACCACGATTACAATTGTATTCAATACCATTCTTATTCCTACATAGTTACTATTAAGTATCTATACATTTACCTGTTTCTCAACGAAGCATAGTACAAAATAAGTTCCGCCGCATTAACGTCGGATAATTTATCCGAATGTGTGCCGGACTGAGCTTCGACCCATAAAATCAATGCGTTGCCTTGTCGATCTACGGCTCCTAAAACAGAATTGATGAATTGTTAATAAAAATATGATTTTTCACGCATACTTTCGAACGTTGCAACTTTTTCATATGTCATGTTGACATTTCTCTATGCACCAGAGAAATACATTTAATGCATAAAACAACAAAAAAGAACTGCAGCTGATAGTTAAATGCATTGAATTTTATATTAACAATATATATATATTATTATTATTTATTATTTAACCCCTACCTGTGCGTAAATGTCGAGAAATCACAAGATATTAAAGAATACAGTTAAAAAAAAACTTTAACTACAATAATAATATTTTAATTATATGAAAGTATAGGTAAAGCTATATATATATATATATATATAAACTATTATAAGACATAAAACAAATGCTCGAAAGGCATTAAAATCGTTTCATTTAAATTAACGTGGGAACGAATTGTGGCTGAAATCTAAAAATAAAATAAAAAAATTTCAGTATATTCTATCATGCGTTTTTACAGCTTTTTCAGTTCGATAAGGAAAAAAAAAGTTTACAGCAAGAATTCGCACATCACCGGGCGTGTTATTAAAACATCAATCGTATTTTACACGCATGGGAGGTCATAGATTTGGATCTTAAAAAGGAGTCTGACGTTTTTATTATTATTCTTTTTTTCATTTCGGAATTTAGAGAAAGTGATTGTTACGAAAACACGCATCGACACAGACGACGGTTGGCGCTAAACGACAACGTGCGAGAAACAAATGAATAAAAGTCCGCGACCTCGTGCCAAAACATTATTATAAACGTTGTAATACGTACAGGAAGTATATCGTAACAATCGTGAAAATAGCACAGGCATACAAGTATACTGGCATACACAGCCCTATGTGAATAACCGGCAAAAGAGATAAATGCGAGATTGAAAAAATCCACGTGCAAAATATGAAGTCTGTATTTATATTCGCAGTTTCCGGTGCTCTTGTTTCACCCTACGACATATTATTATCTTTTTTTTTCATCCTGCGATTGCATGATCGAAACAGTATATTAAAATATTAAATAACAAAAGGGACCTCGATGCGGGTTATTTATTTTTCTTTTATTAAATTAACTCAATTGCTACCGATACCACTCCCACCATAGAATAATGCGCACCCAAACACGTTTTTATTTTATAATACATAAGCCATTCCGTGTACAATTGGATTTAATTTATGTAACACAGCACGATAGTCGGTACAACTACTATTGGATAAAACACACGTCATGATAATAATTTAAAATATATTTTTTAATACGTTTTATGGCTCTCAATCGTATCAAAAAGGTGGTGTGATGAATCTCTGTTAAAACAACCTCTCAGTAAAAATAAAAGTTAAGTTAACTTTTTATTTTTTCCCAATAATTTAAATTTTGTCTCACCCGGAAATTGTAATCCTGACATGAGGACGTCTTCCGATAGGTCGCATATAGACTTTGGCACTCGGATGGACTGACGCTGCTTTTGGGTGTGTATCATAATGGTTCTGTCTGCAACACACAATCGTAATTTATTACAAAAAAACAAACAGGTATACAACCGTCGCCGCCGACGACGTTGTAATATGGCCGACAAATAAATCATTTCTTAGTAGATCGTTAAAAAAAAAAATTTAAAAAAACGTATGATGATTTTTCACGGTTACGACTCTCGACAATAATGGGTTCAATGTCGGAAGTTTTGTTTCTATTTTTATTTTGTAACATTTTCTTTCTAAGAGTTTAATTATATACACCGCATCATTGTCAGGTACCTATACACACACACATATTTATATATATTTACAATGCATTTACACTTTCCGTTGTGTATTCATACATACCTTATATTTACAACAAATATAATATACCAACTATTTATCGAAATTTTTATCTTTGGAATAAATATTTCCAGGGATATATTAATGGTAACAATCATGCGTGTTATTATGTACAAAATATAGGTGTAAACGTGTTACGTTACGAAACTGATGGTGATGGTTTTTTTTTATGTAATTGTTTTTTTTTCTCTTTTTCATTATTTAACATGTAAAACGGACACGAATATACGCATACAATACGATGTATTTACTATGATAATGTTAAATCTACATAACCCGGAGTTCATAGTGCGCAATCGAGATCTTAATTGCATAAAAACTATTCGGATTTCAAGCGTATCTATACATACTCCACCAACAGATCACAATTATTATTATTATCTTTATTATTACGTTACAATACGATAACCTATATGTTTATACAGTTTTTTTACCGTAAACATACACACACGGCCGTTATACAAACAGAACGTTTATTTCCAGTGCATTTTTGAATGGCATAAAACGCACGGTAGAATCTCATGGCGCGAGTAAACACTCATATATGAGAAAATCAGAGAAATATATGGTAAGTTGCCAATTGCATAATAACTTAGAATGTTATTTTGGATAATCAAGACCCCAACAATAACAACCTTATAAGGAATAGAAAAAAAAATTGGTTCTAACATTAAAAATAATTTAAGATCTCGGTCGAACAGGTTATACGCTTGTATACCAATGTATTTCAACATAGAAATAATCATCGTTTGTGTTTACACGAAAAAGTAAAAAAAAAAAAACCTAATAATAATTAAGGTACATTCGTGCGAAACTATTTTTTGAAATTTCGTCATTTTGAAAATATATTAGTCAAATTCAATCATACGCGAATAATAACATATAATATCTTTGTGTATATTATAGAATAGATTTAATGTAGGTACCGATGCTAGGTGTAATGGAACAATGTTAAAATAGAAAATAATTTAATTTGATTAATAATATATATTACGTAAATAGTGATAAAAATAAATGAATATATATAAGCAGTGTTGGCTTGAACTTTTTTTTCTTGGCTCACATTTAATTTTTTTTTCACCACCCGCCCTAAAAAATATCCACTGTTCTTAAAAAGGTTAATTCATAGGTTTTTAGTGGATAAGTAATGGGTATTTAATAGGTATATACAGTAAATATAACACTGTATCACCCCTAAAACAATTATACTTATATTGTATGCAGTGGCGTGTATAGAAAATATTTTCGGGAGGGGCTATTATGGATAGAGTTAAATTTCCACTGCTATCTAAGAATTACTAACAAGACACAATAGGTACTTATCTACATTTCATTTACAGAATGTCCCAAAACGATTTGACGTTGGACGAAAATTCTAAGTATCTTTATGCTTACCATTAAAATATAATATATATAAACATACCTATGTTTAAAATAATTTTTAAGTTTTTTGTAAACATTTCGGGGAGAGGGGGCTGCATCCTACTAGGTAACTCTCCCCCCCCCCCTATATACGCCACTGATTATATGACAAATCGACCCACCCGTTAATATTTCTGTGAATCACATAATTTGAATACACCTCTATCGAGCCACCACTTTATATATGGGTATATCATTAAATGTATATGATTTAATCGTAGGTATTAATAAAATATAATGACGGATACGTGGATAAATAACACATCCCGTTTAGAAATTCTTATACCATTTAGAAAATAAAAATGCATTTTCTATTGCCTTCGATAACCATCGTATATGTATATGTATTATACTATATTGGCAGCAAGCGATAAAATTATTTCAAAAGATCTTATAACGCCACCGTGATTGAGTATTATCGTTATCGGTTTGACATATCAATGTAAGATTTGTCCACGATTCTTAAAAAGCAATACAAACACCAATAACATCCAGGAACTCAAGCGTATATGAGATAATCCGTCAGTTTGCCCACATCAGCTGCGTATATACATACCATATCTACCTATACATAAAATATACGTACACGGTTATTCAAACATGTTTACTTTCGTAAATGCGCTGAATGACGGGTTTTCTATGCAAGTTATAACAGTGTTTTATACGAAATGAGTAGTCATACTTTAAATACTATTAAACTGTTGCAACTACGATTAACGTGCCGCGTACATGTTTAAAAATTGATAACACATAAGTAGCTGGAGGGTATAACATTTTTGTACAACTCTCCCAGATGATAGGTATACAACTATTAGTTATTGTACACGCGTTCATAGTACGTAAAATGTCCGTTAACATGACCGAACATATCCTCCGCCCGCGTGTTTATGTTATCGCGTTTATATATTTTAAACAGTTCGTACATACTGCACAAATAGAAAATTGCTTTTTACCCGATACTATCAACTTGTCGGGCCAACTGCTGAGACATGTCACCATTAATATATATATTTTTTCTCGCATACAAAATATATTATTTGTGAAAAAAAAAATAATAAAACAGAAAGAGTTAATTAAAAGTATCATGGCGGGGTTTGAAAATTGGTCTGTACACAACTATGTACGTGTTTTGTATTCGAACACAAACACACACATATACACACAGGGCAAGACAACGTGGACGAAAGAGGGCTTCTCTGTTATATGCATGAGGAGGACGCGGGTGTGTGTATGGCACGCATTGTACGTACAAAGGTCCTCTCGAATTTCGTTTCAAAGATTCTCATCAGTCACGTCGATTCTAATTCACATGGGGTTTTGTTTGACACACCCTCAAGACGTGTTCTGTCCGACTTCCCGTCGCCGCCGTACCACTAGCAGCAGCAGCAATATCTCTTCAATATAGTGTTATAACCACCCAGGCTTTCTTTTCTTTCCCGGATACTATATATAAATATATGTATTTACATACAAATATAATAAATATTCTTTATAATATTCAGTGGTGGCCCGTAGAGAAATATTCAAATGACTGATAATGAAACCCGGTTGAATTCAGTCTATAGTACGAAGCTTATTTTCTCCGACCCCTCCACCAAATCCTCCGATAATATTTTATGTTTCGATTAAAACTATCGGTCGGTCGATCATTTCACTGAATTGAAGACTGCGTACCGTTATAACCAATAATTTAATCTCAATGGTAAAAAAAACACAATATAAATCATTGAATATACTTTAAGATTCCAATAAAAATACCTATAATATTGATTATTATTATTATTTTTATTATTTATTAGTCAATACAGATTTTTTGGAGAAATTATATTTTGAAGTTTCCACTGATAATATTATCTGAAGTACACACACATACCTACTCGCAAAATTCTAGATTAGAAACATATGTAATGTATAATTCAAACTTATATATATATATATTATATTTATAATATATTTATGTGTGCATAAGACTAATTTTATACGCATCGAAGAAAGTGTAGGAGTATACCTGGATTATGGAATTATTCATATACAACCTATTGTAGTTTTAATGTGTTGCAGTGCTTTATAGTTCGCGAACGTTATATGGACGCGAATCTTTAGTTAATACCACACGGCTCGTATACAGATGGCCGAAAGTGAATCGAGCTGCAATAACGTGGTAATGGTATTTAACATTAATTTCGAACGCCTGATTTGGTTGCATATAAATGTATGTATTTTACATTTTACCGTGATTTTACGACAGCGGACAGATGTATTAAATGTGAAAAATATTTTTTCCAACAGAAGTGAAATACATACACATAAGAAGCGATCTGACTTATATCTGTATATAAATATGTGAACGAATGAAACCAGGCCAAGGCGGCAAGTCCATGTACAGAGAAAAGCTAATAGAAAAGATAATGAGCGTATACCTATAGTACAGCCCTATATGATGAAGGTATACATGTATTATAAAAGCATACACTATTGGGTGTATAGCTGTAGCAGCGGATCGATATATATGGAATTGGCTGTATGCAAAATGATATACAAGAATATATTTTCGATTTCATAGATGACCATTGAAAAAAAAAAAAAAAAATTAAAAGAAAAAAGAACAAAAAAGGGCGCCAAGGTTAAAGCGGGCTAAATATTTGCTAAATATTTCTGTAGCTAGAAACCCCAATTTTGTAACACTTATACGGTCAAAATTTTATTCTATGAAAATTTCTACAAAACTAATTCTATTTAATGAATTCACTTTGTAATCAATTTTAAATTATTGTACTTATTTATATTGTAGTACATATTCGTTATAACAGTAAAAACTAAAATGAACTTTACTAATGTACCTATATGAACGAAATATAATCATAGATGTTATTTATTATTTATAACTTTTAAATATTATTGTTATTACATATATCATTTCCATAGATTTCGTACATATACAACTTCTTAAGAAAAAAAATTATTTTTCATTTAAAATAAATTTCTATTTAATGATTATTATTTTTAAAGAACTGTTAAGATTGTTAAATATAGGTTCAACTGTTAATATATAATACACACCCACATTAGTTTCAATTAGTTACCATAGGATTATCAGCGAGTGCGTATAATATAACTGACGTTTGTGAGGTGTATAAATAACGATTCTTTGCACCACGCAAATCCTTAATTAGGCTGGTCGTATTAATTATCCACTGAAAACGGTAAACACACACAGCAGCTGTAGTATTATATCGACCACAGTACGTG